TCACAGGTTGAGCCCAAGTCCTGGTAAAACCAGTAGCATCTTGCCCTCCAGTGGATGCCAGCTTGGTGTCTCCCCTCAGCCTGCTGCTGGGCCTTTCATAGAATCACAGAATTGTCTGGGTTGGAAGGGACCTTTCAGATCATCCAGTCCAACCATCAACCCAACTCTGATAAAAACCATCACTCCCCCATGGCTCTAAGCACTATGGCAACCCGGCTTTGAAATCCCTCCAGGGATGGGGCCTCAACCCCTTCCCTGGGCAGCCCATTCCAAGGATTAAGAACCCTTTCCATGGAAAAATAGTTCCTCATCTCCAATCTGAACCTCCCCTGGTGCAACTTGAGGCCGTTTCCTCTTGTCCCATGGCCTGTGACTTGGGAGCAGAGACCGACCCCCCCTGGCTACACCCTCCTTTCAGGGAGTTGGAGAGAGCCAGAAGGTCTCCCCTCAGCCTCCTTTTCTCCAGGCTGAACCCCCCCAGCTCCCTCAGCCTCTCCTCACCAGACTTCTTCTCCAGACCCCTCCCCAGCTCCGTTGCCCTTCTCTGGACCCGCTTTTCACTGTGTCCCACTGTTTGTACTCTATTATTTGGTTCCTTACTCACCCCTGTCATTCTGTTATTAATCCCTATCTCTTCCAGTTCAAATAGTAATTTGCTGTGTTGTGCCTTGACAAATGCTGTGCTGAAGTTTGGAGAGAATAGGAAATTAGAGTAGGTCTAAAAAAGCTGGCTTTGCTGGAAGAGAGGAATGGCATATAACCTGCTGCCAGTAAAGGCAAGACACGTTTCAAAGTGTTTTCCAGGGGGCCTGGGTGTTACCAAGGTTAGGATGAAGGCACTGTCAGGCTGAATGACACGTAGAGGCCATATAAATGCAAGGTGCTCATATTTAGGGTAATAGAGGCTGGACTTCTGTGGAAAGAGGAGACAGCAAAAAGCTAAAATGGTTATTAGATCTCTGCGATATCAGCCACTGCTGGTTTTGGTTACCTGGTTAATGCCAGCTGAGGAGTCATCTTTTGTAGGTGGTTCACTGCCAACTATGCACTTCTGAGCGTGGGCTGGGGTGTTTGTTGCTGCAGTTGCACGTATTAATTTTCAGCTTGGAAAATAGCCACGCTGGTCTGGAATTTGCTCATCTTCATCTTTCGCCTTTTTGACACAGCAACAGTGTTCCCAGGTTCACTGCTGACTTTTGAGAGTAAAAAAAGTGTGAAGTGTCTTGATCCTTTAATTGTAATGACACGCCATTGTCACAACAGTTCTGGTTCACCTCCATTTCCTACATTGGCTTCAGACACAATAAATCCTAACAGATTTATGAGCATTAAACCCAAGCATTTAGTACTGAAAAACTTCACAAAAGTAGGATAAGGAGGTCTGATTCCATCTTTTCTTGCAGTGAGGGGCAGTTCAGGCAACCTGCAGACCTCCCTGAAAGCCCCCTGTCTTGCTCATGCCCCACATTTTGACCTTTAATTTGTCACGTAGACCTCCAGCAAAGATCCAATACTAAACTGGAAGGTGGAGAAAATAATTGGCTTTTTTCCCTGGCACTGACGTTAATGTTTGCTGTAGCTTCAGATGTGACAACATATGGTACTGCCTTGAGTTCTCTTATACCTACCACTACTGGATATTTTAAGGATTATTTGTAAAAGCACTTGACAGCAAAAGTGTGCTACTGGCAGAGTTGTCAGCATAGTTGTGGGTTTATCATAAATGCCAAATATCAACAAGAAAATAAGCAAAAAAAAAAAAGCTGTCTTATTTTTATTCAAACAAAATTGCCTTATAAAGTTTCTGACAAGTGAAAACTAACCCAAAATGCCACATCTAAAATATGAAGAGACTCTCCAAATGCACCAAGATGAGGTCTTCCCAACTCCAGTGGTTTAATGAGAAAGAGCCTGCACCAGAATTAACAAATTCTGGCCTCTGTTGGGGTGGATAGAGAGAGAACACGGACTCCAGGACTGCAGAGCCTTCTCCTGAGAGCTCTGGGCTCCGGAGTGTGCGTCAGGGATCAGGAGAGTCCAGCTTCTCAGATCTTCATCAGCTCATAGGATGATGCCAAGGAGATGATGATGCACATGCAGCCTGGAGTAGGTGCTGCTTTACAGGACAAAGCCAGTCCTTTAGCTTTGCAGGTGGGAGATAACGGATGGCATGTTCAGGCTTCTTACTTGCAAAACAGGAATATTCTGCTCTAATGGAGTTCAATGGCTCTTTGAGAGAGATCCATCGGATCCATGTAGATGCTGCTTAGTAATCCTGTCTGGAGGCATCTACGGTTAGTGAACAAAGGTTTGGTGGGGAGGGGTGTGCTTGCCTGGACAATAAGAAGGCAAGGACTGTCCTTCAGCAGAGAAGCCTGAAGCTACTGGCTTTTGGGAAAGCAAGCACTTTCAGAAAAAAACCCTTCCCCTTCCTTGTTTTCATAAGACTACCTAAAAAAACCCAACAAAACCTCATTGTAGTAGTGTGGTGGTTGGCCACTAAACAAACGACAGATTTAATTGGCGCCCCGTGTGGTGTAGTAGTTCATAGAACATAATTTGATTAAAAACTCCATGCTACTAAGAAAGGCCAACTGCATCCTGGGCTGCATCAAAAAAAGTGTGGCCAGCAGGTCGTGGGAGGTGATTCCACTCCTCTGCTCTGCTCTGGTGAGACCCCACCTGGAGTGCTGTGTCCAGCTTTGGAGTCCTCTACATAGAAAGGACATGGACCTGTTGGAACGGGTCCAGCGGAGGGCCACGAAGTTGATCAGAGGGAGCCCCTCTGCTGTGAAGACAGGCTGAGAGAGCTGGGGGTGTTCAGCCTGGAGAAGAGAAGGCTCCGGGGAGACCTTATAACGGCCTTCCAGTACCTGAAGGGGCTCCAGGAGAGATGGGGAGGGACTCTTGGTCAGGGAGGGGAGCCACAGGATGACAGGTAATGGTTTTAAATTGAAAGAGGGGAGATTTAGATGAGATACCAGAAAGAAATTCTTTGCTGTGAGGGTGGTGAGACCCTGGAAGAGGTTGCCCAGAGAAGCTGTGGCTGCCCCATCCCTGGAGGGGTTCAAGGCCAGGCTGGATGGGGCTTGGAGCACCCTGGTCTGGTGGGAGGTGTCCCTGCCCAGGGCAGGGGGGTGGAACTGGATGATCTTTAAGGTCCCTTCCAACTCTGACCATTCTATGAATGATTAAAAATTATCATTACAAGCACTACTTGAAATGGAAACTAGAAACAAAGGCAGTGAGTGCTCCAAGAAGATTATTTTTTCCCCTATATATAGTTTTCTTACCTATAAAACTGCACTTTCAGTCCTGTGTCTCGTCCATGCCTGCTGGTGTGAAAGGGGAAAGAGCGTGCTTTCATAGGCCAAGCACTTGTGTAGCTGTTTCCAGGAGACATTTAGGCTGTAGATAACTGTGTTGGTTGATACATCTCAAGTAGTTGCAGTTCAGCAGCATATCACAGAATGAATGGGAGAAGGAAGTAGAAATAATCCAGCGCTGATGGTATGAAAAGTGCAGGCTGGGATTTAATTAGAAATTGAAGCCTGATCAAAGTGCTTGGTGGGAGGCAGAAGATTCCTAACAAAAAATGTCATGGTCTCTGTCATGGCCTGTTCCGATGGCAGTGCAAGAAGCTGTAGAATGGCTCAGCTTTTCACAGAAATGAGTCTTGACTTAAGCAGGGAGAGGAAAGGAGAATGAAAGGCTCACTCCAAAGGAGACACCTGCAACATGTCCCAGAACAGTGCTCTCCTTGTGCTGGAATCTTTGCCTCGTAGACTTTTTCCAAAGATTTGTTGCCTTTACGTTTTATCTCTTTCCCTGGGCCGAGTTGAGTAACCGTGGGTTGGAGGGAGCTGTGCTCCGAGCAGGGGTCGGGCCATGTGACCTGCTGGGATCTTTTCCAAACTAAATTATTCCTTGATTCTGTGAAACTGTTTGGAAACAAGAGTGACAGTTCTGGGTCTGCCACGTGGCACTGGGTCTGACGGCTCCATGTTCCCAGAAACCCATCGGTGGCCGGGCTGGCAGAGGGCTGCAGAAAGGCTCCAAGAGAAGCTGCGTGGACTTGGAGGAGCATGAGTGGTGACCAGAGCTGCAAGGACTTTGAAACCCTGGACTTTGTGAACTGTGGGAGCTGAAAGCTAACCGCGAGACTACGCAAAGGTACAAGCGCTTACGCGTTAGCAAGGAAGATGATTTCTCTTGGTCAGTGTGTAAAGAAGCTCCAGAAAGTGACTTCTACTTTAGATGGGAAAGCAGGATGTTGCTCAAGACTTGATCTCCAAAAGCAGGCAGGAACAACCTGCAGAATACCAACCTAGCTCCTGAGGATCTTCTCTTCAGCATGTCCACCCCTGCCCTCAGAGACCTGTTCGCCAGCTGGGCTGACAAGAAGCCACCCTGCACATAAGAATATGGGATTGTGGAAAGGTTGTTTCAAAGGTTGGCAAGAGGGAGTCAGGAAGTTCAATAAAAGGATGATGTGATGAAAGTCTCTGAAAACAGGACTGCTGGAAGTTCTTAAGTGGAAAAAATAGTGATGTTCAAGCTGTTACAGATTGCTGCTGCCAAAAGACACCGATGTGTTCCTTATTGCTATTCTTTGGAGCAGAAAACACTGAATGGAACAAATTTTGAGGGTAAACACAGGTGGTCAAGGACGAATCAGTGTTATGGTGCAGAGGTGTTCCTAAAATGGCACTGTGGGACTCTGTCCTTTCATCAGCTCCATGTGATTCATTCGCTGGTTCAACAGGTCACATTGATCTTCATGTGTCACAACCGCAGACCTCAGCTGGTCACTTTCTGGCTTGTGCATTGTCAACAGGATTACCGTTTTGCAATGGGATCTTAATTTCTCAATTCTGTTGATCTGAGAGCCAAAATCTGTGCTCTTCATCCACTGCATTAACTCTGCAAGGCCAACAATAACGAGGGAAAGTGTACTAGTAAGAACAGATAAGAGAATAGATGTGTCCTGTTTCTAGTTGTTTTGCTGACTTAAAATTACAATTTTTGGAAGGAATAGCATGCCTGAAGCAGAAAATGCTGTGCTAGCTCAACAGTGTCTCCTAAAAGTTGCTATTAGACACTGCAATTAGAGATGGAAAATGCTTCCTTCCCTTACAGGAAAACATTGGTTCTACTGGTGGCGTGCAGCATCTCAAGAGAAGAACAGACCATGTTTGCTTTAGCTTCCTGCAGTCAAGCAGTGTGACTGGTCTGTCCACCAAAATGTTCTTCTCTTCCTGGAAAGAGGCGGCAGGTACCGCTCCACCTTGTTGCTTCTGCAGATGGATTTTAAGGAGATGACCCCTTGGTGCTTTTCTAGAGCCTTTTGTGGAAATGATGATACCTGTGGAAGAAGGGGAAGTGGTATCTCGTACGCTGTCGTGTTTGCTGAGCTGTGCCCTTACATGATCCAAACCCTTCCAAAAGTTGGTGTGACTCCAGCGTAGGGCAACAAAGATGATGGAGGGATTGGAGCATCTCCCTGAGGAGGAAAGGCTGAGAGAGCTGGGAGAAGAGAAAGCTGAGGGGAGACCTTATTAATGTTGATAAGTCTCTAAAGGGGGGGTTGAAGGAGGATGGAGCCGGACTCTTTCCAGTGGTTCCCGGGGACAGGACGAGGGGCAACGGGCACAAGCTGGACCATGGGAAGTTCCACTCCAATGGGAGGAAGAACTTGTTTGGGGTGAGGGGGGCAGAGCCCTGGCAGAGGCTGCCCAGGGAGGGTGTGGAGTCCCCTTCTCTGGAGATCTTCAAGCCCCGCCTGGATGCTCCTGAGTGATGTGCTCTGGGCAGCCCTGCTTTGGCCGGGGGGTTGGACTGGAGGGTCTCTAGAGGTCCCTTCCAACTCTGACAATTCCTTGATTCCTTGACTACTTAGAAAAAACATGCAGCATGGTATCTTTTCTGTTGAACTTTAGGTTGTAGGAGGTTCTTCTGCTTTTAGAAGCTACATTGCTCTGTAACGTGGGTGTTGGGGTGAGGAACACACAGACCCAGTGTCAGAGAGGTACTGGGGTGCTGTGTGGTGGGGGAGTGCTGGTGTTCCTCCAGATCCCCAAATAGACACAGTCTTCTGAATAATTTAGTGCAAGACTTCTGCGTTGAAACTGCTGCCTTACATCACTTGTTCAGTGAGGTGGTCCATAATTTGAAATGGACTTTATTTTCCACATAGAGGTTTGTGAGAAGTTTGGCCGTGGTGTGCTCACATAAAATAGAGGAACGGTGCAATTCAGCAAGTGTTGGGAACCACCAGTGTAGGTTCCTGTAGCCTGCTGCTTGGCTTTGCTGCTCTTCCAGCCTCGTTGGGTTTTGTTGGGCTTCTTTGGTTGGGGTTTTGTTTGTTTGTTTGTTTTTAGTTTGGTTTTGGGGTCTTTTTTTTAAAGATGGTACTTATAAAATGAGTTCTTTCAACATGACTTTCTGTATAAACCTCCGCACGTTTTCTTTGCCTTGTCATAAATTTTAAGTGAAAGAACGTGAAAATTTTACATGTTGTTACAGGTTTGTTTGCAACATGAATGTTTTTTGTTGAGATCTGTTTGTTTCTTAAGAAACTGTGTAGTGTATTCTAACTTCCACGTTGCCCCAAAGCCTAGTAGAGGATGTACAAACCACAGCCCGGAAAATTATTCTGGTTTTCTGTGTTTTGTACTTTTTCCCACCCGTCTTTTCAGACTGGCAGGAAAACGTGGACTTTGGTGAAGCGATGCAAACCGTGGGGGGCTGAGACCTCACACCGTAGTCCTTTTCCATCTGAAGTGTCCTGAGGAGCTGCTGGGTGATAGAGTACAGCTGATTTGGCTCTCCTCCTGGTCTACCTCGCTATTCCAGGAAGAAGTTTTACAGGAATGCTGATCTTCTGTAAAGCACGTGGCTAATTATGAAGGAATCATTTTTAGATTGGAATCTCGCAGGAATGTATTGTAATTATCGTTTACATCTAAATGAGTCCAAACAGTTTTGTCTCAAATTATAATGTTCTTTTTATTAATACGTTTCCTCCACTTGGCAGTCAGCCCCAGTAATGTAGCGATAGTGTGTAAAATGTGGAACAAATTACATCTTTTCTTTAAGAGAATGCCTGGCTCCCAAAACTTGACAACTTTTAATGGAAAAGGAAAGGACTGATGAAAAAGCAGCGCTGACTAGATGCTAAAGCAATGTAATTCATTAATTTGGAAATACGGGGTTTTCTTCTGAAAAGTCCTTTGTATTTTTTGGTGAACCTTAGCTGTATTTTAACCTCTGTCTGTATTTTAGAGTTTCCCAAGACCATAACTTGTGACTTTTCAAATGCTTGCAGATCATTGAGTTAAAAGCTTACATTGACAGAAGATACTGACAAAAGCATCTTAAAAGTGTGTCTGTTTAATTTTAGGACAAGGAAACCTGCATGGGTGTCAACAATCAAAGTTACATATGTGAAACGGGCCACTGTTGTGGACAATCCCAGTGTTGCAACTACTACTATGAACTCTGGTGTAAGTCCTTCCGTTTTGTATGGCTTCCCTTCCTACTCTGCATGGCTCTCATACCATAGTACAGGTCTGGCTTGTGTCCCCTGGGGTTTTGTCTTCAGCCCTTGTTACGCGTTGCCATTGCGTTTTACTCCAGCACAAACCTGGAGTTATCAGTTGACCTGATACAGCAAGGGAAATAGGGTTGTTACAACGGGCATCGCCTGCTTTTTTGAGGAGGAATGGGTCATCTTGCCGTGTTCATCACTGGAGACTTGTTGTTGAGTCTTCTCACTGATTTGGGCAATACTGAAGGGACTCGGAATAACATTGTATGTGAGTGAGGAAACCACACTTGAGGGAGAAATGCCACTACACACAACACTACAGTTTGACACACTCAAACAGAGAATTACAGAATCACAGAATGATATGGGGTTGGAAGGGACCTCTGAAGATCGTCTAGTCCAACCCCCTGCCAGAGCAGGGCCACCCAGAGCAGGTTGCACAGAAACGTGCCCAGGCAGATTTTGAATGTCTCCAGAGACTGAGATTCCACCACCTCTCTGGGCAGCCTCTTCCAGTGCTCTGCCACCCAATTAATTAATTCAGTACTGAATTAATTCAGTATCTTCAATTTATTGTTTTAGTTCTTTGCAAGAATGACAATTTAAATCTGATTTATCTTTTTTTAAGCTATCCTTTCAAGGAGAGGGGCGCAGGATGTTTGTTCTTTTCGGGGCACATTGTGTTTGAAGCAGTGATCCTTGGGTCTTGGGGCAAATCTTGTGGGCTAACAGTGGCTGAATAATGTGGGCTGTGCGGAACATCAATTGCCCACTGCAACCCCTCTGATCTCCTCTTCCCCTAAATCTGGGATTTAAAACTGCCCATGTTTCTAGTGAGTGGTTGAGTGAACGTACTTAATTCCCTTCAGACAGCAGCAGGCAGGTCAAAGCAGGTCAGCAAACCTCTGATAAAGATACATGGGGAAAATGGGAAGTTGAAAGGATAGGAAAGTAAGAAATGCTGATTTTTAAAGGCAAACTTTCAGAGTTGTGCTGGTCTGATGGTGTCTTCCTTTCTTGAGGAGGAGCACAAAGGGCTGAACATCGATGTTGACATGCTGTTGTGCTGCCAGGAGCCTAGGCTGAGAAGGTGTCTGTGCTCCCAGAATTTGGAAATGTGGAACCCTGAATATTGTACTCCCCATTAGAGACTGGAGATATTTTCATACCACACCCAATAGTATCTTGTAGCTTTTATGCAGCTGTGCTGTCTGCTTAATCCCTCTGCTGTGCCCATGGTTTCACTTCCTCAAAAGTAGTGTGTGTGTGTAAGTGTATTATACATGCAAAAAGCATCACTGAACCTGGATCTGAGGAGAGGAATAGCTGACACTTCAGTCTAGAAACATGCTTTTACTTTTTGAATTAACCAGTGAAGTGGTTGTAAATTAAACATGACTCTGACTCCTTCAAGACACACGCTGCACCAGAGCATGGTGGCTGGCTGTGTCGATGTTAATGGCAGGATCCAAATGTATTGCAGACCCTTTGCAGGAGCTTTATTTTCAGAAGTCTCCAAACTGTTGAAGAAATTATTCAGGACAAGGTGGGCAGTTCTAGGGACCCTCACAGGCTGAGATACAGGCATGAATGGGTGGCTGCCTTGGACTGCCGGGTTCAGATGGTAGCAGGACAGATGGCTGGGATTTGTTGGGACTATGTGGGGATTCATGGACAAAGCAGAGTGAGGAAGGTCAGACCCAGTTTTGGATTTGTGTGGGTGGGAATGTAGAGGAAGAGGCACGTATGCAAGGGTTTTACAGGCTCTGTAGCAAGCAGGATCTAAATTGAGCAACAGCGTGGAGCACAGCTGCACACTGGAGCTGGTTGCAGGGTCACCATGTTTCTCCCATGGACATCTTGAAAGGGGCTTAATTGAATTGCGTACAAACAATACAGCCCCAACAATAGCCCCCTGCCATTTTAATGGAAGGATTTGGCTTTAACTGTCTTTGCGCTCTCAGTGTGGCACAAGGCTTTTGTACTTGGCAGTGCCTGGCTGCCTCGTAAAAGTTCTTGGAAGATGAAACCAGATTTTGTTAGAAGGAAGCAGAATAGTTCAGGCTTCTTTCTAGGGCAAGCAACACAGATCGCGCTGAGATCATGGAATAAACATATTAGTGGCACACACTGCTGGAGGAATAGGTTTCTGTGTTGAGATTCACATTCCCTCTGCGTTGCAGAGAGCATCATATACCACACTAAGATGGGGGAATAATGCAATCATGAGACCTGTTCTAGGTTTTTTTCTTTTTAAATTCCTTTGAATTTTTTTAATTCTGCAAATCCAGCTAAACATCCAACATTGATTTAAAATCGGTTAACGTTTTCAAAGCTTGCGTTGCCATTATGAGTGTTAGAAAAAGGTTTCTGGGATTGGAAGGGAACACAAAGGGGGGAGGAGGTGTGCTTTAAATTTAAGGAAACTCATATTTTAGAGCTTGTGACCACAGCTGCAGAACTTCCCTGCTGCTCCAGGAATTGTTGAAGTTCTTTGGTAGGTACCTGTGGCGAGGGACTCTTAAGACCTCCAAGGTGAATAGCAGCGATAGGATGTGTAAATAGTCCAGAGCAGTGAATTGATGGTTTGGAGATGTTAGGTCCCAGTCCAATTTTTGGTCCTGGAGGGGGTTCGTAATGATTCCAGGGGTGCAATTGAGACACAAACAAGGTCAGCAACAGCTTTACATGCTTGGGAATAGATTAGCTTTTTAAAAGTTAATAATAACTTTTGGTTAATGAACAGTTAAGTTAGCAGCACCTTTTAAGTATGGCTTCATGGTTGGTCTGTGCTTTGATTTTAACCAGTGTATGCATGTGCTGAAGTAGCTTTTTAGAAGGTTCTGCTCCTCTTGACCTTCCCAAACCACCAGGGCTACTGTGTGCCTGAAAACAGACCTTCTTGCTAGTCCCATTGAATTAAATCCTGGATTTATTTACCACCACAGCTTCATGGGGAGAAGAAGCAGAAGAGGGTGGCATTTGAAATGGAAAAGAAAACTAGTCTGTCTCTTTGCTGGGTATGCCTTCTGAAATGTGATCCTGTCTTGTGGCTGCTTGGAGTTTTTCCTGTAAAAAGGATCTTTTTCCCTGTTTAAGAGTTTGAGGGATGTTTGTCTTTGAAAATGGCTGATCTCAACATTTCTAGACAGCGAGTAAAGTTGCAGTAATTATAAACCAGTCCTTGAGGGCACTGGAATAGGATGCAAAATCAAGGTATTATTTTGTTAAGGGGTGGAGTGGAGGAATGGAGAACATGATATGCCAAGCAGGTGGACAGCCTGTGTTTAAAATTAGATAACAGCCCGGTTCAGATTCCCCACCCATCTCTTATTTAAAAAAAAAAAAAAAAGAAAAAAGAAAAAAGTGCCATGTTGCCAAATAATAAAAATATATCTAGATTTTTATATATAGGTCTAATATCTATATAAAGATCTAAATAGTTCTTAGCTCAAGCTTGGTAGCTGGTGATGTAGGGGAAAAATGTGCAGTGTGTCTTTTAATTTTCTTGAAATCAGATCATAAAAAGCAAAAGGGAAGAAGAGGCTTTACTGTTGCATTTCCTCACATAGGGGAAGGTGTGTGTTTGGGTGGTGGTTGAGTGGGTACAATATTTTAGCCTAAAAATTTCTTTGGGCTCCACAAAGGGATCACAGTCCCCAAAAGGGAGATGATGGTCTTGGGAGAAGGGCAGCAGCTGCTGGCTTTTGCTCACTAACTGTTCTTATTCAGTTCTGTTATGATGTGATTGTCATTTGCTGGAGTTTTCCAATGTTGGCCTTTGTCCAGGCCAGACAAATGTCTTACCACTTAAATGTTCCGAAATATCGCTTCTTAAAATACAGGAGAGAAGGTGATTGAAGAATTCAGTTCCCATATTTTGCAGGTTAACAATTCAGAATGGGACATCCTGGATTTTCCTAAGCTTAAATGTGTAATGTGGTCTGAAAACCAAATGCAGATCTCCTGACACCCATCCTGGCGTCTCTCCTTGCCTTTTGAGGACCAGCATGAAATCAGGTGATTCCAGAGGCTCTGAACATGGCAAGCAAAGCTGCCTAAAGTGTTTTGCGTGGCGTGGTTGGAAGGATAGTACTCTGTGCTTCAGAAATCGTGGAGCATGGAAACAGGCAGCTGGTCACTGTGTGCAGGAGGTCTCAGTTGTAGATTTCAAAGTTAAAAGGCTTAGCTGGTCTTGGGTCATTTAGGAACTGTACAACCAACCAGCGCTGGCGATGAGTGAGAATTGGGATACTGGATGTGCCTGTTTTGCTTTGTTTTGGCTGCGTCAGCAGTGATACTGAGCCCTTCTGTTTCTGAAAGGAAAAAAAAAAATAAAATAAAAAAAAAGATCTCGTCTGTTTGGGCCCTGGTGGAAGGGTTGTACAGGAAAAAATGTTCTGTTTGCAGGCAGCACAGTTGATGTTTTTGCTGATTTTGAACATTTCGCTCATCTCTGCACGCTTCCCCTTGGAATCTCTAGACAGCTCTTTTCCCCAAAAAGCAGGCTGCCAGAAAATGTTGGCAAGGATTCTGTTAGTTGCTAAAACTAAAGCAACTGCTGTACCACGTACGTGTTCCAGGTCAGCTTTATAATAGGAAATCATTTCCAAGACTTCGCTGCAGCCTCCAAAACCCTCAGTCAACCAACACATCGGTCCCGTGTTTTCTGCCTTATCTTTAGCCTTCAGTATAAGCACGTCCTTTTTCAGAGGGATTTGCCCTCTTCCTTGCCCTTTCACCCGGCCTCCTACATGGTTGTACTCGCTTTCTCTTCCTTGGGTCTATCAAACTTCACCTTTGGCTGCGGTGACTCCTCGGCTGGTGCTTCAGTGATAACCCCGCCGTGACGAAGCCGAGCTGAAAGTATAGGGCAAACAAAACAGATGTCACAATCGTGCAGAAACTCATGATAAATAGGGTCATTTCCTGATTTTCCTGTAGCCTCATCCAGAC